GCGGTACACGCACGGCGAATCCATCCGAGGAAATAGGACCCTCCGCGTCATTATTCACGACAAGGACGTCTTTCGAGTCACTTTCCACAAATTATTTCATTCGCGAGAGCCCATCGAGGGTCTGGCGAAAAAAAAAAAGATACGATTCCAGGGGAGTGAAACTACGAGCCGATTTCTCCTGCGGCTCTCCTTCGCAACGACATTACACCGGATATAATCGCACTTGGAAAAAAGGCCTCTGCCCTGCTTTTTCTTCAATTTCGTTACCACTTTGCGTTGTCATGACCTCCTTTTTCCGAGGACTGTGGTTACACGCAAAATTAAAAAAAGCGTGTAAGGTGTCACGGGACATTACTTAGCGAAAGCTGATCGTTAAAATCTCACTTGGCTCCGGAGAGCCTAATCATACGGAGGAAAATAATTTTGGTTGTCACGAGATGAAAAATTATAAAGCTAAAGTATACATCGATCAAACACCCCTGTTATCGTAACGTTATGTATAGGTTTCACATCTTCAATAAATGTGTATTTGCTTTACAAAACAAACGTTACATCGAGTCGACGAAGCTGCATTACTTTAGAGTACAACGCAAAAAGTCATTTACACGAAGCTCCAGTGCAAAGTAGTTCAGCAGCATCGTATAAATATTGTCGTCGCGTATACACAAGCGGAGCTCTTGACATATAGGTATACACACAAACGTTGCAAGCACAACAATCGGAGCTCCTAATGCCGACGGTATCGCTGAATATATTCAAGTTTTATCGAGTTTGGAGTTATATTACTTGCTGCGTTGCCCCTCCGTGTAATATATTGTCACTCGAAACGTAAAAATGTATATTAAAACACACGATCCGCGTATACCAACAACTTCGGCAGTTGCTACAACGAGAGCCCAATAAATACCAACAGCGCCCTCGAACGCGCAAAATGTCCATTTTCATTCGAAATCGATACGGCATTAACTCTCCCGTTTCTCCGTGTATCATCACGGCGAGTCTTTTCGGCTCCCCATCTACATATATATATAACAATATACGGAATAATGATAACTTGGCTCGCATTATTCACCGTGTAAAAATAAAAGTCGATCTCCCCCCCCCCTCCCCTCTCTCTAAGTATTTGTTCGAGCCGATTTCGCTGTAAAAGCTGCAGCGGAGCTCGTGCAATTATCCACTCCGGGTCGAAAGCACACGTGTGAATGTTTAGCTATGCTTTTGTAAAAATCTTTCGTAAATACCGACGTATGTGCATATGAAAATGGGGAATGCGAGCCAGTGAAATCCATTACTTTTGCGCGGGCGTATACCCTTCGAACGTTCCGTGCATACACACCACCGGCAATTCTCTCTCTGACGATCCGTGCAAATGTTTCCCTTGGCCAAACTCAACCACCAATAATACCCCCCCCCCATCCTTCTCCTGCCCCTCTCTCCATGCCTACTCCGTTATATTCACTGTGTGTGTGTGTGTGTGCACGAAAAGACCTTTGTCGGCGCATCGTCTCTCGGTTGGCGGAGTGGCTCGATCTACCGATATGTTGCTTGTTGTACATTTTCCAGGGCCATTGTCTCCCTTTTGGCGCCTCTCCCCGAGTAGTGCCAGAAACATCCAACTCGGCGAGCCCGACAACTTCCCCCCCCCCCCGTCGCAAACTCCCTCCTCTCTCTCCCTATATACTGTTTATTCCAAATTTTTCGTCTTGGCTATCGCACGTCGCGAATTTTCCATCCCAAAGTGTCGTTTGTTTTTTTCCCCCCTTCCAATTCGCGAGAGGGGAATGGAGAACGTACGCAAGCACCAGAACAACTGGAGCGCGAGTTTCTTTCCCTCCCCTCTTAGCTCGGGCCACTTGTTTCCGCGAACAACGGACCCATTGTCCGCGTCCGAGTCTCCATTTTTCGGTCAGCGTGTCTTTACAGGGAGCCGACCCGCGCGTGCTATAAACTCCCCCCCCCCTCCCGTCGTTCCCGGGCGCTTCTTTTGCCGGCCCGATGAATGCGCGAAACTCGAGCCCCCCCCCTCTGGGGAAAAAAAAGAGATGAAAGTGCACGAAAGAAAACTTGTAATTAGAGTGGAAGAGGATGTAGGAAGATGGGTGGGTGGGGGGTGAAAAAAAAGAAAAGATACATGGGGTGGAAGAGGGCAGGCGGACGTGTATAATAGAGAGACTCGAAAGCCCGTGAAGACTCTGATGCCGAGAGTGATGATGGGCAAAGGGTGGGTGCGTGCGTGGGCGTACGAAGAAAAGACGAGCGCGGAGAATTTCGTCCCCTGGCCTTTGTTATCATGCACATAGGGAGAATTTTCTTTCTTTGCGTCGATTCCCCGAGTTGTGTGTGTTTTTTTTTTTTTTTTTTTTCAAATCAGTATGCAGCTGGTATCTACACGTAGACACAAAAGGCAGGGTCGCGCACCGCTGGAATTTTTTCATACAATGCGCCATCCGTAAAAGATTACAATAATATAATAAGGGCGCAACTTCTAGTTATCATATTTAGAAGCGTAATACCCACCCCCGGCACAAGGGAGGGGAACGATATATTTCCGGCTTCTCGGAAAAAAAAAAAAAAAAAATAGCCGTAGCGCGGGTGATAAAGCGTTTAGCTCGAGAAGCATGTACGTGCGCTAAAAGTACAATGCAACGGGGCGCGCGCGTACAAGCCGATAAGGGGAAAACGCTCTCCCGTGCACTTTTCGCGAGAAACGCTCATTAAGGACCCCCCCCTCGCGCCGAGTCAGCGAAAATGTAACGGCGTGTTTATGCGAGGGGGTAAGTAATAGAAAAAAAAAAAAAAACGCGCCGTATATATATATATCATGTGTATTTAAGGAGGGAAAGGGGAGGAAATAATAACGGCAAGTGTGTGGTGCAGGCCGCTCGCGCTTTTAGAAAGATGAAAATACTCGGTTTGTTTGAGTAAAAATTTTTCACCCGCCGACCGCTGGAGAGCAAAAAAAAAAATATAATTCAAGCCCCCGCGCCGTTGTGCCTGCACGAATATAATGCCGAGTGCTCCCCAGACCAAGTTCTTTTCAAATTTAATTTTGAATGGACGCGCACTCCTCGATCGCGATGTTGCTCCGTTTTCCCGTTTTCAACCTCTACGATGGAGATGGTGAAAGTAGCTCCTCCTCCGAGGATCGGGGGATTTGGGAAGCGGAGGACGACATGACGTAATAAACAAAATTAAAACGCAGTTAAAAAGAGGAAGGGAGAGAGAGGGAAGGCTTTGTTAAAACGAAATTAGCTCGTCGGCGAGAGGCGCTAACAGATTTTTTTTTTTTTTTTTCATTTTCCCAACTCCCCCTCGATTGCTCTCTTTGCCCGCCGTCGTTGTTGTCGCCGACAGCACTAGGCGTATTATGCACGGCGCAAAGCTAATTGGTGCTTTGAGGCGCGCTGCGATTAGGCTTTAAAACCGCACGGCGCTCGTGATGAAATTTCACGCTCGCGGCGCTGGGGTGCGCGGTGCCGAGGGAAATTATGCAAAAACCGGCGCGTGTGATGTTGGCTGCCTCCACCCCCTTTCCTTTTTTTTTTTTTTTTTTGTTTTTTCATCCCCGCGGTAACGCGATGTTTGCCCCAGTCCCGAATGCTCGTCGAAAACAAAGTCATTTTATGCGCCGTCGGGTGAATTTAGCTGCCCGTCGGCAAACATTTGCCCGCCCGCGCGCGCAAGACAAATATCAGGAGATCGACGGCCAAGGCGGGAGGGGACGATTTTCTCGCGCGCCTCTGCGCGCTAATTAAAACTTTTGTCGGACCGCGGGGTGGGAAGGGGAAACGTCACTCGACCTATGGTTATACCGCTTAATATGCTCCCTTATTCTCTTCGTCTCGCACGCGCGGGGGAACTTGGCTTTTTAATGGAAATTAAAGCTTTTCACGGGATCCCTCGGCGTGATGCCTGGCGAGGTATTAATTTCTTTTGCTCCTTTTTTTTTTCTCTTTACCACCCCTCCCCCTCCTTCTCCTCGTCCTTTCAACGAGAGTTTGATAAGTTTCCAAGTTCCGTGAATGGAAGGCTAATTACAAGTCCGATCCTCCCCCCCCGACAGTGCCAGCGATGCCAATATATATGCACCTTTTTTTCCTCCAGCACCGTCCGAATGGAATCCCGTCCATATTTTGCGCGGGTGGTTTTATCGGTTTAAAAAATCCAGTTACAGCTCTCGGGGCGGGGGGTTGCTTTTGTGATTCAAGCTATTTCGCACGTGCGATGGATTTTGATGAGTTTGCTCGGGAGCCGAGCCGTGTTTGCCTTTCCCCGGTGTTTACCTGCACACGCGCGCGAGATTAGTTAGGCAAAGTTTGCCCGCGAGCGTAAAATTTTTTGGGGGGGAGGGGTAGCGACGACTTTTCGTACGCAAACAAAACGCAAATATGGGGGGGTGCTTTTAGGTGCGGATCGATTATTCGTGTTACATGTGTTTTTTTTTTTTTTCATCTTCCCATCCCCTTGTTTTTGAAAACCGAGCGTTTGCCGTGGGCCAAGCGATTAAAGGAATTTACATGTATTTGCATCGGCTGCCTCTGCACGGAACGGAGGGGGCGAAAACCAAATCGCCCCCTCACGCTCGTGCTCCTACTCGAGCAAGGGTCTCAGATGTGTCAAAAGGCTATACATGAAACTAAAACAAAAAAGGGATCGCTATTTCCGCAGTCTTAAATTGAGCCGCGGAATGGAAAAAGCGCCGGAACTATTTTTTCGGCTTAAAACAAAGAAAAAAAAAGAAAAAGGGGAGACAAAGGATGTGGTAGTATCAAATCCACGGGTATGACCGGAAAATTGAATGGTTTTTCAATTTCGGGGTGATGGGTCCGAAACTCGAAGCGTATGTATATATATATTGTACACAGCCCCTCGTGAAATCAGCCTAGGGCGTATATTAGCCGGACGTGAAAAAAAAAGAGGCAGGAAAAAATCGTCGGGCCGCGTACGTGGGAGGCGTACGCGATGTATGATTTTTTTTAAGCGAAAAAGCGAGAACTCACCGGCGAACAGGAGGCTCAAAGCAAGAAGGATGCTCCTCATATTTCTAGGCGCTCTTGTCGGCTCCGCGGCCACTTTGTCAGCATCGTCGACTTGTATTTTTCTTTATTCCTTCTTTCCTCCCTCGGTCCTGTGCGTATATAGCCGGCTCACCTCTTCCGTCTTCCCTCCAAAGTGCCCATGTCCACCTACACTCGGGTCCTATAACGGTATCGGCCAACGACAGAGAGAGAAGAAAAAAAAAAAAAAGCTCTCTCTCCTATCTCCTCTGCAGCATCAGTGGTTACACTCGCGCACACACACAATCACACACTGTTGAGGTATGAAAGAGCAAGGAGCGCACACACGCGCGCGCACTTTCTCGCCGCTCGTCACGCTCGAGCACTTTGGACAGATTTTCCCCGTGGATTTACCGAACGCAGGCGGAGAGAGCCAATCTCTCGTGTGCCGTCGAGCACGTAATTCCTCCCTATCTCCCCTTCTTCTCCTCTGTTTGTATTCAACCTGCTTTTTACCGGGCTCTTAATTTCCTTCGACAACGGCGCGCCGGCATCAGCCGGACGCCAGTCTGGCCGGCTCGGATTTACGGGCGAGCGCGGGGGAGGCGGCCAATTTGTTCTCCCGTCGAATTAGTTCACGGGAAAACGTCACACGCGCGAGAGAGGAAGAGTGCAAAAAAAAAAAAAAAAAAAGAGAATTCGAGTTTGACTCTGCCACCGACCTCCCTCTCTCTCTCTTTTTTTTTTGCTTCTCGCCCAACTCAAACTCACTCGCGTGGACGCTTCGTTAGTGCCGTGAGGTCCTTTCTTGCACCTGGTGCTTCCCTCCTCCTTCTTCTGCCGAGGCCAAGCGGTGCACTCCTATCGTCTCTCTGCAACACATAACACAGAGAGTGCCGACGGTGAGTCAACTTGAATACAATGTCTAACCTGATGTACTTGGATGCGCGGGGGCTGGAGGTAAATGACGGGGGGAAAAAAAGGATGATGCAAGGGCTCGCCTACCCAAAGTTTGTACGCCCCGAGCGTGTATATCAGCGAGTTTATTTTTAAACCCTGCACTGTACTGTACACCTGCTTACTCGTATATACTTTGCAAGGCCCCAGAGATACGTGTCCCCGTTATTTTCGAAACAAAAGGGGGTGGCAATGCCGAAACTTAAATCCATCCACGAGCAAGAGAAAAAAAAAAAAAAAAAAAAAAAAAGTATTGTCAAAAAAAAACAACAGCTAATGAAAAGTATCCATCGTGGACACAACGAAAGGCAAGTGCATAAATTTCCCTCCACCCTCGGGTGCCGCGCGAGATCTCAATAACGCGATCCAGTAGGGCATTAACGTCGGATGAAAAGGCGCTGGGGGCTCGGGGCTGACACGCGTTAGGCAAAATACACGCGGAGAGGGACCCTTCGAGGATCACAGGAGGAGGGAGGGGAGGAAACAATGGCTGGGCCAAAAGGAAAACAGACAACGGGTGGAAAAGCACTCGATGCTACATATATATATATACAAGACACTCACACGCGTCGAGATGTACAATAAATCACCGGCAGTCGGGCGAAACTTTCCCCGAAGAATAAGAAGCCATCGAGAGGGCCACAAGCAAACAATAACGAGGGGGTGGGGGGGGAGGCACGCGCGCGTGCTTCGCACCTATATAGTTGGGTGTGCGCTGTGCGCGCGGTCGTGTATGTATCTGTCGTCGGGCCGGCGCGAGCTCGCGCGAGTACCGGGTCGTACGACGGTGCGGCCGAGACTGGGGCGCAACCCCGGTGGTACACCCGTGTGGGTAGTGGGCTTGCGCAAGCGCGCGGGCCGCCCGGATAATCTCCGGGGGTGCACGCGCCGGGTGGAGGTATACGCCTGGTACCGCGTGGACTCGCGATCTGCGATTTAACAATCGGTCGGTGTGCAGGCGCGCCTATAACCAAACTATACTGGAGCTAGGGGTAGTACTTAAGGGTCTTGAGGGACAGGGGCTGCACTTACCTGAGGGTGTGTACATCTTTCATACATTGTTTAGCGATATCGGCGGTTCAGGGCGATCGACTTTCGAGAGCTTACCTATGGGGTTTCCCAAAGTTCCGAATATCGAATGGAAAGGGGGAAAAAATGGTTTTTCGTTGTCAATATTCGAGGTTTCCCGGGTAAATTAATACGTCCCGGAGACGGACGGGCTGTCGAATGAATTTAATTTGTTATTTTTCGTGCACGCGCGCGTGCGAGCTCCGCGAGTAAATAAATAAGTAAGAGAGGCAGGTCGAGGGTGAAGAGAGGGAAGAATAAGGGATGGTTTTAAATTAAATTCCGCTGCCCACTCGGGTTGAAAGGGACATCAAAACAATGGACGGGCTTATGAATTTTCATACTTACACACAGGTTTGTATACGCATGTATAAATATATTCAGGAGCGAGTGGGGCTCCAAGTAGAAAGAACCAAGTATTAGTCGGACGGACCTTAACCGAGTGCTTCGTTATGCTTTTATAATAAACCATACAGGCTTATCATAATTTTTCTTTATTTCTTTGTTCATCCACATTTGTTAATTTTAACGGTAAGTTGTTCTTTTCAAAGATCGATTCATTATCTTTGCGAATGGCACACGGGCCGAATAAAATAAAAAAGTTGTGCATTTTCTTTGTTTATCCAAGGCAATAACTGTTTGGCAGGTAATTATTTTAAATAAAATTAATTTCTCGTACGTCTAAAGAACACTTTTAAAATGAGTGCACTTTTCGGAAAAAAAAAAACACCAAACATTGCTGGAAAATACCATTGAGAGGGGGATTTCGACCTCGAGTCGTCCGAAATCCGTGCAACCGGCTGTTTTTCGGTGAAAACAACCAGCTTTTAAAACAAACGGTGGTATAACACCCAAGAGAGAGAGAGAGAGAGAGAGAGAGAGCTCGAAAAGGGTTTAAGTTTCAATTAATTCCACCGCGATAATACCACGGGATTTCAAGAGCAGCACTATTATCGGATTAGGTTCTCTCCCCGGCTATCAAGCCCATTCTTCCTCATAATGCATGCATTATGCTTAGATTACGTGAATTTTCAGGGTGTAAGTACAGCCCACGTACCTATACTCGAGAGCTCGAGAGGTAAAGAGCCTATACCCACGCGCGTTTTATTCGACTCAAGTTGGAATTAGGTGCTCCATCTTTCGCTCTTTCGGTTTATTTTTTCATCTTTATTATCGAGCAAACGCACGGAGCGTAACTGCACCATGTTACTGCCGGACTTTCAATTCCAAATTAATCCGTGCTCGATTAGCAAAGATCTGGAATCCCTTTGCACGAATAAGGGTTCATGTACCTGCATTACGTTCAAAACAATTAGTTTGACCAGCCAGCGTGATTTTTTGATTCAACGTCATGCATTCGAGAGAGAAACAACCTTGCTAGTTTTTCGAAACGTGTAAACTCTCGCAAAAGAGAAACGGAAAAAGAGAGGGAATACAAGCACGTGATGGAGTAGGATTTGACTGTGACTGCTTGGGGACGGCTATAAGGTATACCGGCACTGATGAGCGTCATCCAAGTATACACAGCTAGGGAGACGAGTAAATGCCGCCGATGTGTATACATACACACAGGAATGAGAAAGCGTCGCGTCCGGGGACGTTTTAAACTCGTCTCTTGTGTGACTGAAGGGGAAAAAGCACCGCCGAAACGGGTGAAAAAGAGGAGGAAAGAAAAAAGTTAAGTAATGAAATCGGGGGGAGACTGCAAATCAGCACATACCTATGTATAAATGCAGGACGAGGAAAGTTGATATCCATACGTGCTTGCAAGCTCGGCTGGAAAGTGCCAAAACAAGGTTTTACCCAAGATTTTATTGTCAAACCACGTACTGATTACCCCTCCCCCCTCCCCCCACCCATCTTTTTGTCTTTTAATTCAAAATCAGAGTGGAAAGACGCGAATGAGTAGTGGATTTCTTCCGAGACTTCTCGGAGTAAAAGAAAATTACGATTTGATACAAACCAGCATTCATTAAGTACCTTATCTAATTTTTATATCAAGCTTGTATAGTACCTAACAATTTGAATTTAAATTACAGATAACATGAACGAGAGCTTGCACATCCATGCAAAAAAGACTATGTGTATACATTTGTTACCAAAGCAAAGAGTGTTTTGAAATCTCGAGATGATTAGGAAGTTCAAAAAACCTGGAAATATCAAAGTTTTTGTGTGATGTATCCAATTCGCTCCATACAACAATTTTTTTTTTTTTTTTTTTTCTATATTAAACGTGAGAGCAGTATAAGTTTATATTATGATGTCAACCAGAGATTAAAGCTAATGAAAACGTGCTTTATTTCCAAGAGAAAGCTTTCCCTCCGTGTAACATCCCTTATGTAACTTCTGTCTCTTCCGACTCCCCTTTTATTTCATCAAAAAATAACAACAATAGCTACCACGTTACGGATTGGCGTAAGCGCGACACGATACAGCCAACTTTTCGTTCGTTGCGCAATATCAATTATTGGCGTTAATTAAGGGACGCACGCGTCATTGTATATGTATACACGTGATGAACCAATCCGCGCTTCCCTGAACGTGCAGGAGCACGAGGACGGATAATTTTTCGAGCACCCGAATTTTTGCCGTGTTTTTATTTCACTTTTCCAAACAGCAAAAACAAATAAACTCTAATTTCATTTGGCCCTTCTACCGCGCCCTCTCCAATGCTCCATCCGCGAGACTCTGGGTGTACGAGAAATATATTGCGTTTCACTGTTATCATTTACCATTCCACGGCTTTGTTTTTTTTTTTTTTTTTTTTTTTCCGTTGTTAAATATATTTTGTAGCACCGCGGATCGAATAGTTGATGAATTTCCAGTTCGGAGGTTCAAGTCGAGGAGCAGTAGAAGGAGGAGTATGTAACATATAAAATTGGAAAAAGAAATTTAATATCGACGAGGCGCGGCACGTGTGTGTACGCGTGCTTGCACCCGCAGAGTACAATATGTACCTATTTGCACACGCGGCATACCACGTGGTGGTAATGTTTTTTCAGAGCTCTAACACATGTATATATGTATAGAGTTTTCGCTCGAAATATTTCGCTATTTTTATTGTCCCCCCCCCCCTCTCTCCTTTTTATCGATGGGTGTTTTCCTCATTTCGAAAATCCAATTTTCCCGGTAATCGATTTCTCGCCTGTCTCGAGAAGTGCAATTTGTCAGACATCACGCATCTCTGTTGAAATTGCGAAATTTAATCAACTTCCGTTTTATCTCGAATATAATTACACACCGTACTCCGCGGTAAAGGAAACAATATCGTGGCGTTGACAGGCAGCCGCCGCAATAAAAACGGAAGAAAAAAAAAAAAAGGAAAAAAAAAAGAGCTCGAGGCCGTCCGCGTGACATTTATATTAATTTAGCAAAGCTTATACGCGCGCAACTGTTAACAACAAGGAAAAACAGTGACTGCAGTTTCTTCCTCCCGCTCGCGTTTTCGCTGGAAAAATGTTTTCCCGGGTCCGCTTTGACGAACCATCAGCCCACTCGCCGTTCTTTCCTCGCGCTTTTACGTAACGCGAGAAATCGCATACCCACGCGCTCACATGCAAAAAAAGGGAGAAAGAACAGAGGCGCAATAATGAACGTATATAATTGTTCGGGTCGTTTTATTATAGCGACTCCGGTGCATACGTGTATATTCATGTATAACGACGCGGTCGCGACTTTTTTTTTTTTTTTTCTCGTCATCTGCAATAATTCACAGTCCCCTGCTCCTTTTCAGTCGCGGCGCTACAGAGTCGCACGAAATTGATGGAGTTATTATTATATAACTCTCGAGAGCTGTCGCAGAGCGCAAAGTGTACGCATAAAGGAGGGGAGGACCGTACGTATATATGTATATATATATAGACACGCACTTGCCGAGCTTCTTTTGCTCGCATAATAAATGTCCCTTTCATGTTGCCTCTCTCGCGCATTGAAGACCGAACGATACTTTACTCCTCGCACACCACTGCGGGCGTTATTAATTTCCCTTACAATGTGTACTGTGCTTTTTTAATACTTCATCGCTCATCGATGATTAAATTGACGGGGAATACCGAAAAACGCTACAACGAGGAGGAGTGACGTGAGCGGGAAGGGGAAATAACAACGGATAAAGCGATACGCAAATGTCGAATTGCGGCTGAAAAGAGAAAAGTTGTCGAGTTGCGGCTCAGTAACACTCCTATTCAATTCGACATAAATTAGAAAACGAAGCTTATCGTTTAGCCGCAACTCGACACTGATTAAACGCTTACTTTTACTCGAGCCGCAACTCGACATCAGCCAAGCGATAACCAGGGGATTAATTAGTCGAACTCGTACATGCACGTTTTATCCACCGATGCGTTGTTTTTTTTTTCAAAAGCACGACTCCTATCTCTCTTTTATTTTTTTTTTTTTTTTTTCACGCGCTCTCGTTCCAGCGTCGACACGAAAGTACTCGCATCAATATACGCATTAAAAAAAACCTTATCAGAGACGCGTAGGCGCCCACGTGCATGCGAATATAAATAATAATATAAATACCGTTCGCCCGCGTTTTGCAAATATTTATTCCGCGATAATAGCCCGCGCGAATTTATTGCGGCCCGTAATTATGCGCGCAAATCGCTCGCGCGGCAATAAAACACTCGCGAGCCGATAAGTAAACAAAGGGAAGAAAAAATAAAAAATTTGCCCAACTGCAGCACAGTATTGTACGGGTACGGGGGGAGCAAGTTCCCGTAACTCGCTTAGAGGAGATTAATTTATGCAGAGAGTCTCGCATTTTCAAAAGTGATACCCGGCCGGAATTTCAGTACAGTCCCGAGCACTGCCGGCTGATTTAAACCAGCGCATTAGTCAGCCCTAATCCAATTAAGACCGAAATTTTACTCCAACCGGAGAGCAGCGAAGAAGGGGGGGGGGTAGAAGAATGATCACGATCATGTAAGGCATCTGGAGACACACTCGCGATATTATACATCTCTCCACGGACTCGTTACACGTATGTATAATGCGTACGATTCGTCCTTGTCGCCGTATGAAATTCCAGGTCTTACTCTTTCTCGTGTAGGTAAGTATATACACGTCCTTTTCCCTGCCTCATCAAATTTTTCTCGTCCTCCTCGTGCAGCAACACACACACACGTGTGCGTGTGAAATACGTAAATTCGCGATTCCGTGGAAATTGTCGGGAAGGAAAAATGTCATTGTCAAGCTTATACGTGGGAACGGTTGGAGGGTGGGGGGGGGAGAGAAAAAAACGTCGGGCTTGGATACTAGCCAACCACTTACAGCCATGTATATAATATGTACGTGGAGCTTTTTGTTATGCTCTGCTATTTTGCCGTATGTCCATGTGTGTACATACATACCACGTAGGGGAGGGTAGGTAAGAGGGTAGTTATCCAAAATATCAAACTACCTGAAACTTGTTCTCTCCTTTGCCCGCAACCCCATAAAAATTTACAACCACCTTTCTCCCTTCGTTCGCAGTAAAAGCTCCGTAACGGTATAATAATATAGTCTTTTAAAAAAAGATCCTTTATTTTTACTTCCCCAACTACTTTTCCGCGCATCCCGGTGTACATCAAACGTCCCTTTTTCCCATTATATTTTCTCTCTTGCTCCCCCCACTCGGATGGAATATTATTGTTACTGCCTCTCGTCGCTTTACCGCTACTCCATTATACAGGGAGAGGACAAACAAAGTTAGAGAATCTGGGTTGATGCGTGTTTTTCAACGAAACACCTGCACTCGAAGCTTTTTTTTTTTTTTTTTTTTCCACAAATGGTAAAACAAAAGATTTTCTTGTTTTTCACTCCGAGGGCAGTAACAAATCACAAAGCGCATCGAATCATGATATGCCTGCCCACTTGTTTGACGCCCGTGAAAGAACGAACAAGGCCTTTTTCACCCGCCTTGTCGAGGGTAGCTTTTTGCGAAAAAGAATTTTTCCCTCGAAAATCAAGACCAAGTGCTTTTTTCCCGCAGGACAGCGCGTGAAAACACGAGTGACAAACATTTTGGGGCTTTCTTTTTTTTCTTTTTTTTCGAGCTCACGCCCGAAAGAGGACACGCGCGCTGATGGGTTGTGTGTGTGTGTGTACAGCAATCTCCAGTACACATGTGTGTGTACACTGTGTCCGTGTCGTCGTCGCTCGAGCTCTCTGGCAGAGGGGCCGCTTTGGTAATTGACAAGTTGACAGCCGAGCCTCTTTTCATACGTGTACTACCTATATGTGTACATGTACGTTCGGGACCAAGAGCTACTGTATCTATATGCGCGTGTGTCTAATGCTAAAGAAAAACGTGTGCTTCCTCTCCCCCTCTCACATCACTCCCATCGAGGCCCTTTTTCAATTATCATTGTCATTATTGTTTGCCATCGTGCATTACGTCTAAGTAAAATGAACACGAGTAGTGCCGTATTATTATTATTCTCTCATTACTATTATTACTATTATTATCATCATCATCATCATAAACTATGGAGTTATGGCTTTTTGTTCCTTTCACTCGCGTCTACATGATAGATAATGCATTACCTTGTTGTATACTTAAAGCCGCTTACGTTTACAGAAACTGTTATGTCGATCATATATTAAAAGCCATTACCGCCCTCTCGCAAGTGTATACCGTGCAAATGAAATATGTACATTTTAAGCTGTTGCCGTTTCGTACTGTGATGAAAATAAATGTCGAGGGTAATCGGCACCAATTTTTTTTTTTTTTTTTTTTTTTTTTTTTTTTTTCATTGCTACTATTATTTGCTTACTCGTTAAAACTCGACGTATACGATCGTTTGCGCTCGGACGACAAAATACCACGTTTCCATAGCGAGGGAGTTGATTAACTCTTTTCTTTTTCTCTCTCTATTGATTGGAAAACATTTTTATTTCTATAAAATTCAATGGCACCAAAGCTTTTTGGAAAAATTTTACCAAAAAGTAAGTAATAGTGTAGAAGTTAGCGTTAAAGGCAACACACGTACCGACTTCTTGTTTGCAGCGCGATAGGTATACCTGCGTGAAAGATAAATCTCAGCGAATTCCATGGTGTTGATTGGCAGATCGCATCCGATCTTCGTGGGCCTGAATTTAATTTTCATAAAAATCTTCTCTGTACGTTGGTACACCTAACAAGTCGAGTGGTTAATTTTCATTCGTAATTACCGATGATCGAGCGAGTCCGAAATTTTGCAACAATTACGTCCTCAGTTGACCGATATTTTGTTTTAAGAACTACCTGTAAGTACTATACCAATGGTTCGAGTGACTTTTTTTGCATAGATGAGCTCTCCGAGGGCCATTATTATTTAGACTCTGTATACACCCGACAATTCAAAGTAGCAAAAATGATCGCGTACAAATATACATATAATTATGTGGTGTACCGACACGTCCACTCGAGACAAATACGCGGAAGTTTTAATCGGGTAACCGAAGCGCAAAACATCTCCCTCTGCAGGTGTTACGACCCTTCGGAGGAAACGAGGCAAAGAAAACGGGACCAGATGAGGGAAAAAAGCGGTATACCAAAAGGGTACGAACACGTCTATATAGGTATATTATATGTACTTACGTTGGGGGGTGGGAAGGCTACAAAAATGTGCGTCAAACTCTCGGTGATTTATGGCACCCCATCGGAGGAACAAGCTTTCCCTCACACTCCCGTGTATATACGAATGGCGGTACGGGGGGTTCTTTGTACGCATGAATTGTAAAGCTCGTTTCTTTTTCCCCGCCATAAATACACGGGATCTTGCGAAGGTTTCGATAAAAGCAATAACAATTTTTGACTTCCCCATTCGATGTCAAGTTGTCCGATAAAAAATGTTATTCGGCTGTTTATGAAAATCGCACGCGTAAAAAAAAGGGAAGGAGAGCGGCCGTTCCTTCTTCTCGAGTTGATCGGAAATACCATGGTGATCCTCGTAAATTTTTTTTTTTTTTTTTTTTTTTTTTTAATGGGTATAACGTTACTTATACAAAATTATCGAAATCACGAGTGCAGTGATTCGTTTATCTTCTCATTTAATCGAGTGTACCCTATAATGTTATTTTGATCAATTTTCCAAGTTTATTATATTTATCAACGTGATGACTAATATTTTTTTCAAATCATTTACGGAGAAAAGAAGGAAATCAATATACTTTCCGCACGTATCAGAGTTTATTTTAAACAAGTGATTATGTATCCGTATAAAGTGTAGCGATGACTCTAAGAAAAATGTCTCTAATTGTGTATACACACGTTATAAAATATATTTTTGAATGTTGCATCATTATACTTTTGAAAGATTAGCACGTTTATCAACACTTAGCTGTTTGAAACTATAAAAAACATATCCTGTTAATCATTCTTGGGAATAAGTACTTAGTATACCCACGTTTTGAATGTATATTATCTAATTTGTTTTTTATAATTAACCAGCAGAAAATCCATCCAACCAAATACTCAATGTTTTGATAATGCAGGAGGTTTGAAACTTGCTGTTTAACGCATTTTTTCATTTTTCAAACAAATCCTTGAATGTTCCTGAACCTGCGCCTAATTAATTGAACAAAAAATTTTTAGTTGTGAATATAATCTATGTGTTGCACTAACTTGTGAAAACTTTTTTTTTTATTTTGTACAAATGGTAATTCACTACGATATAAAAAAAAAAATTAAAAAAAAATAAGATAAATTTAAATAACAAATGAAAAGTTGGCTCGAGTGTGGAAAAAAACCATATTTAGGGCGCATTTGCATGGACTGTTGTCAAGTTCGATTTGAGCTACGTTTGAGCGAACGAGCAATGTAAACGCACCTTTGTACAAGTTTGAGCTGTCAGTTTTTTCTTTTCTGATTTCGTGGCAAGTGTTACAATCAAATTGTTCAATCTTATCGGCTTTGCATGACGAATAAAAAATTAAAACACGACTTGACCTGATTTTTACCATTGCATTCGTTAAGTTTTTTAATAAAAAAAGTGAAAGTGAAGTAAAAAACGCGATCAAGCTAATAATGCAAGTCATTTTGACATAACATTTGTTGATTTACATGAATGCTTAATGGTGTCTAGGTACTGATTTGGATGATTAAAGTCCTTAAGAAAAATGCCAGGGAATTTGCAGTATAGTATTAGCCTTTTAAAGGACAACGAAGAAAGTGTGAGGCAAGATGCTCAGCGAGTACTTTTAAAAATTTGTGATAACATTCTCAAATTTCCAAAGGAAATTAAGTACAGAAAAATCAATTTATCAGATACTATTTTTTCCACTCAACTACTGCCAGCTGCTGGTGCTGTCGAATGTTTGTTTGAAGCTGGTTTTGAAGAGGTAATTTTTACCACTGTAGAGCATTTTATTGTACATAATATCCTAGTTTCAAAGGTATGATAAATTTTTCTATTTTTGAATCAACTAGAACGATGATGAATTCATACTGCCACTAGATGCTTCATTATCAAGTGTTGAAAAATTATACAGTTTATTGAATAATCAATTAAAACCAGCGTCTACTCCATCAGCTCCAAAGTCGGACTTAAATTCAAAACAACCATTGTCATTATTAAATATTGGGCTTGTAGAAGAAGAATACAAAAAGAAAAATTTTTTCCAGCAAATACAGGAGATGTTTAAGAGTGTTTTGAGATACGAAAATGAAAGCTTGCAGAGTAAGGTGAAATCCATACTACCCCTTCCAGCCATTGAAATTGCAGCCATGGAAAAATTGAGAGAAATACAAAAGTAAGTGACACGCTGTATGATAACTAAATTTTGTTAAAGCTAAAGATAATAGATTGAATATATTACAGAGAAGTGAAAACAAAAAAAGTACCTGACAATAATGTAGTTTACGAAGACGCGCTACTAGCCGAATTACTCAGTTGGTTCAAAAATAAATTCTTCAAGTGGGTCAATAGTCCTGCATGTGAAAACTGTATGGGGGAATGTTCTTATGAAAAATCATTAAGTTCCACAAATCCAAATATATCCAGGATTGAAATTCACAAGTAAGTAATTATTTTTACAATGCAAGGAGGTAGCCACTTGATTTGGTTATCAACATCTGTTGATATATAAGCCAAAATATTAATTTTATTCCACTTGATTCAGATGCAAAAGCTGTGGAAGCAAAAATGAGTTTCCCAGGTACACAGATCCTGAATGCTTATTATATTCAAGGCGGGGTCGATGTGGTGAATGGGCCAATTGTTTCACTCTGATATGTCGAACGGTTGGATTTGACGCACGACTCGTTGTCGACAAAACCGATCACGTCTGGACTGAAGTCTGGTCGCCAGCACACAACAGATGGATTCACGCAGATGCCTGCGAGAACACGATGGACCGGCCTCTATTGTACGAAACGGGCTGGGGCAAAAAGTTGTCGTACGTCATTGCCTACTCCAAGGACGAAGTGCAAGATGTCACCTGGAGGTATACGCGCAACTTCCACGATGTCATGAAACGTAGGAAAATTATGAGTGAGGCAGCTCTGTCCTCATTTACTGCTCAGTTGAATCATCAAAGACAAAACTCGAATGTATACAGCAGTGCAAGGAAAAAGTTTGTTAACAAACGCAGTGCACTCGAACTTGCGGAAATGCTGACTGCACCACCAGGTTGCAAGAAGCCCAGTGAATTGGAAAACGACACAGAGTACGGTGGTAGAACATCTGGATCCTTGACTTGGAGACTGGGTCGAGGGGAAACCGGTGTAAGTGGCAATTACACTGATGGTGAACTAAAACGTTCTTTTTTCTATTTTAAAGTTTTTTTAATTTTACAGAACAGAAACGTCGAACCGGCTCAATGGACCATACCTCAAGGAGTCAAGAGTTACGAACTCGTCTACTCAATTGTTTCCGACACTTACGTAGCGAGAGATTCTGGAAATAACAAGGTCTTAACGGAAAAGCAAAAGTGGCAAGACGGTATTGCGACAACAGATGGTGGAGTTTTCAGAAAGGAAGAGCAAGACTGGAATATGGTTTACTTAGCAAGGTCGCCTGGATCGGCAGCTGGCGAGGTAACTTGGACTCTAGTGGTTGAAGATACTGCAAACGTACACGTAGATTCTGTAAAGTTACAAGCTGTTACAGCAACTTTCAACGGAGCGGCTCTTCGATGGAAAATTACAGGCATCATTGGCTCAAATGTAGGCGAGAGCAAGGTAGTGGTTGTTGACAGCAGCGAAAACTTTGAGACACAAGACTTGAAAGGTGCCATCAAGCTTAGTGTAAGCGTTACGATGTCGGGAGGTGAGGGTGACGTAGCGTGGCAGCATGCTCAGCTATTCAGACAAAGTTTGAAAACAAGCTCGATGCTGCCTTCTCTGGTGATAAAAGTAAACTTGACGAATACGTGAATTTCTTCATATTAACATTTTTTACATTGTTATTTCTTTTTTATAAAAAAATCATACAAGTTTATTATATTCCATACATATTTTAAATATAGTCTGCTTATGTACAATGAAAATCACCTACTACTTCAATATTTTACAAAACTTTTTTCAATTCGTGGTGTAAAAAATTTGAATGTTTCGATAAAATGCGATGATAAAAAAATGGTCAAATACAATGGCACGCGATAAATATTAATACTTGCTTTCAATTAATTCCTTGATATCTGTACAGAGTTTCGCAAAATCAGGCCGCTGATTACTCTGCATGTGCCAACATGGGTACATTATTTTTACATAGACGTCCTGTGGACAAGTAACTGGACAGGGTAAGCGCGCTCCTCTTTCTAGAGCTGCTATTATTTCGGTGGACAGTATCTCCTCTACTCGTCTAGTTCCATTGACAGTTTTTCCAGATTCCCCGGCATTTGTCTTTTTTATTAATTCGGGTAATATAGGATCCTCACCAAAGCTGAAAGTCTCGTACAATGTCACGCCGAATGACCAAACATCTGATCGAGGTGAGAACCTGCCGTCCTTAAGACTCTCCGGTGCATACCTGAAAAAGTACAATTCAAGTTATTCGTCATTGTGAACAATAGTTTCAGCAATTCAAGTGTGTTAAATAGACAGTACCATTTGACTGGCAGATCTCGATTGGTCTGAAAAACATAGTAATCGTTCTTTTCAATAACTTGAGCAAGACCAAAGTCGCTAATTTTTACTCGATTATCATCGACAACGAGAATATTTCTTGCAGCCAGGTCCCGATGTACAATTTTTTTACGTCCAAGGTAATCCATACCAGTGGAAATATCCAGCCCGAATCCAAGTAGTTTTTTGTGAGTAAGCCTCTCCCGGTACAAAGCCAGATAAGTCAGTAAAGAGCCGTGCTCTATAAATTCCATTACCAAGCATACCTCTGGCTCTAATACGATCCCTAAGATTCCCACAATGTTTGGATGCTTGAGAGACTAAAATTAAAGAAAGAAAAAAATGTTACCTCGTAACAACTTCATGAACAATTTAAAATTTGAAATTTTACATTACCTTCATGATATCGATTTCTCTTTCGAAATCTCGCAGCTCCGCTTCCATCGCACGCATTTTCAATTTTTTCACAGCCACCCTCTGAGGCTCGACGTCTTTCCCGTTGTTCCTCTCCAAAGCACCTACGTACACATCCCCGTAAAAACCTTGACCGATGCGTCCTTGCAATATAAGATTGACGTTAGCGTCCAGCTCGAAGATACTCTGCATTTGGCCGAGTAAGCCATTATCGTTATCGTATCCATTCTCGCCGGTATTGTCACTGATACTACCCTTTGCCCACCAGCCCAAACAAGTCGAGAGTATGTTGTCAGAATCATCAAAGATCATGCCATTTCCGTCAGCACCCAATATCCCAAGACTATCGTCGATCTCGTCCCACGGCAGACTCGTACGGTCTGTGAACAAACTACTAGCTCTCGACTCGCCGTCGAAGGAAGAGTGTCGCTGATCGGTCTCGCTTGCATCGTCTTCTATGACATCCGAGTTCCTGTGCTCTGCTAGTTTCGGAAATGCTGAGGCGTACGCGTGATTCTTTCTCGAGTTGTGCACCTGGAACTTGATTCGGTTGATGTCTCGCATAATGGCTAGCGGGGTTTTTCTCGAGCCGCCGATTTTGCCCCAACATTCGGTCATAAGTTCGTAAACTTCGTGTGGACAGCCATTCGGGATTGGAAGGCGCTTGCCACTGGCGTAAAACTTTTTGATCACGTTGGGATCATTGTCGCACGGTATTATCGTACCTCGCGAAAAAATTTCCCACATGGTTGTACCCACAGCCCACACGTCCGCAAGCGTCGTACGCCTAGCCAGATCGGGATTTTCGTAACACTCGGGCGGCAGCCAGTGAACACTTGAGAGTAAAAGAAGTTTTTCCGTGTCAGCTTATTGCCATTGAATTCAAACTTTTGGTAATTTAATAATTGAACACTCACTCTGCCGGCTTGTAACTGAAAATTCCCGGATCAGCAAGTTTAACTTGAAAACTGTTGTCAGTGTGCTCTTGTACCATTAATTTTCGACATCGAATATTGCCATGAACAAAGTTATGATTTTCCTGCGCAATTATCAAGAATATAAAAATTGTATCCACCGTGACTTTTCGACATTTGTGAACCTTACCAAGTACCATAACGCAGAGGTGAGACAGGCCGCGGCATCAACCATGTCGATGGTCTTGATGATTTGTTCAGGACTTTCACGCAAGTAGGCGTCCAGAGGTCCCAGATTTATAAGCTCCAGTAACATACCCAATGACGGTATCAAAGTGAAACCATACAATCTACAAAAACACAAAAAACGTGACTTATGAAATATACAGAATTTGCTAATTGTTTTATTAAATAGACTAGAATCTATTTTCTCACCTAACTAAAGCACTCGACCGTAATTGTCCCCACTTTGCTTGTAACTTTAAAAACTCCCTTGTCGATTGCTTATCATCTTCTTTCAATAACTTAATCACAGCCTCTACTTTTTTACCCTTAGCGATACGCCAGACTGCCTTGTAGAGAATCGTAACTGAACCGCCACAAGACGCTGCATTCACGCGTGCTTGGCTTGCCTTACTCTTGGGAAAAGGTTGAGCTTTGTATACCTGCAATTCGTGTGGTAGTACGCTGCCCGGCCTTGCCTCGAGTACACCTGTAATAATTTCTTCCTCGGCTGTGACGTCACTCTTCATTCTTTCGGGCGCACATAACAGCAACGGAGATACGTCGCGTTCCGATGGAAACAGGCATTCGTTCAAGTACAGTGAATTTTCGGGGTCCTTGTGAGCAGACAGCAACTCGGCAATGGACTTGAACCGCTGCATCGAGTCCGACAATGCGAAATCTTCTGGTCCAAGTTTTTCAATTCTCCACGTTCGAGGCTTTAAATCTTTCCCACAAGCGTCCAAGTAGTACGCGTTATACTTAGTTTCGCTCTCACGCAAGATGAACGTGCCTGGCCTATTAGAGCGCTCATTGTCCAGTTTGGCATACGAAAACTCTCCTCTAGAGAAAAAATTATAGCCATGTAAATGGGTTTAGATACAAATTTTATAGAAGAAACAATTTTTACAATGACTGTCAAGGCTTACCCAACAGGACCATGACATTTCAGTCTATGCAATCGTTCCAAGCTCGGCGTTACAGCATCACCACAAAGATTGTAGGTCCACCTTGCTGCTAGGCGATAGTATCCATCAAGAGCAGAGACAAATGACATTAACAATGAAATTGATTTAAACATCAAATAAGATGGTATTCCATTATTTCTGGATACTTCTACAACATTGTCATCTTTCCTGATTGAAATAAAACACAGGTCTTCTATTGAACACAATGTTTTCCATTCGCTGTTGTTTATCTCCAGTTCATTGTATCCTATTTCTTTTGCACTGATTCTCAGCAACACTCTAGCTGGTGGACTGGGCATTCCTTTCTCCATCATAGCCTTGTACTCTTCACACAGATAATTGGGAGCCATATTTTCAAACTGCTTTAAATATTGCTCTCTCACAAACAAGGAGTCTTGCGCAGATATTTTGCCAAGTGCATCGTGGATAGGCTTTTTAATGAAAAAAGAATGTCTTTTAATACATTCTTTTGGAATGTACTTTTTGTAGTCGGATTCAATAACTTCCCTGGTCATTTCTTTTTCTAGCATGACCCTGAAATTACACGAACAAAAATCATGTATTTTACAAGATTTGAAAAACTCATTCAAAATTGTTTTATAAATACTCACCGATACATATCACTGACACTAAGGCCAATTAATTCTTTCTTGTGTTTCTCGTACACAATATCAGGAACTTTGTTATCCAAAACATCACTCCTAGCCTGTTGGAAATAGTAATCATGCGCTTTGACATCGACTCGCTTTAATCTCTGAAGACTGGAAGGCTTGAACCTTAATCTAAAATCTAATTTGTATTTATCCTTGCCATCAAACTTATAACTAGCATGATACCAGTTATCTGTTGCCTTGTTCTTTAAAGCAAAAAGATGCCTGGCAACAGGTCCAATGCCCAATTGCTGACAAATCTATAAATTAAGAAAAATGTAAAATTGCCCACAACGATTTTTTAATGCAGCTTAAAAACAATCAAACACATCGAAAATTATAACCTTCATGCACAAATCCTCGGCAGTCGATCCATTGACATAAGTAATAATTAAAATCTTTACTTCTGTAGCCACACTAATAGAGGCTATCCTGTCCTCCTCCATAATTGCGGATTACTTTGAAAGGAATCCCGGAATATCCTCGGAGGATGGTTTATTCTTCACTCATCGCGCGCACTTTTTTATTCATCAATTTGTTCGTTAAATGTTACATTGTTGACCACAATTGAGTATTTATTATTGCATAATTTTCACTCTGGCTCCAGCATCATTTTCAGTATAACCATTTAGATCAAAAAAAACTTTTTTTCGCACAAACTAAGTTTTGTTTTGATCAATGTACTTAATGTAAGGTGCCTTATTTTATCTAGATATGGAGGATTAGATTTGTGCTTTCGAGCTCCGAGCTGACCGAACTCTGGGGGTCAGGTGCAGGGTAAGGTAACGCGGGGTGAAGCGTGAGGCTTCACCACAGCTTCACTACATATAGGTATAATAGGTGTAGTTGGTAAACCGTACTCTCCCTACTATAGCTGGGGTAAACATAAAAAAATATGTCTATATTTAGGCCTCCGAACACATCCGAGGATCCGTGCGAGTGACGATCCGAGATCTGATCGAGCCGATCGAGCTAAAAAACAACGTGATCATCTACTTATACTACCTATACTTACTACAGTACTATTTTGTAAATATATCAACAAATCAATGAACCCGACTGCCACGACTGCACCTAACATATAGCACACACATCACATGTTGTGTGCACCTGCAACATGATTGGTTGTTCTCACTGCACTTGCTTGTCACATTCAGCTTTTTTTCTGAAAGTATAATTATCAAAAACGTCTGCTTTCTTTTTATGTATAAGTTCAGATAGTTTTTGATTATTGAAGAAAGAAAAGTTAGGAATTAAACGTGCGTGTTGTTTTTTTATCAATTATCAGAAAAAATAAATAAATAAATAAAAAACACTAGCCGGTAAGGTAGATATTTTAAAGGGCCATCGGTCTAAATTCCATTTCCGTTGACTATATACAGTCTTACAGTCTGTCAAATCAAAAGTAATCAAGTCTATTATCACCGTCATATCAAAAAGATAAGAGCAAAAAGTAAGGGTTTAAAAGAAGCCCGAGAGAGAAAGGAAGACTGATCAGACTTTTCATTCGCGCAGGTGACGTGGAACAGAAGTCGTGCTTTCTTGAATACTTGTAATAATTGAAGATGTCCGAACAGGTAGGAAAATTTGTTTTACTACATTTCAAAGTGATTTTAATTTTACTACTTTAATAGCGCTCTCCCGTACCGTTATTTCAGATGAGTGCTCTGATAAATGATTTGTTTTTTGTAGACTTTCGAGTACAGCGTCGCTATGTCGTGCGAAGGCTGCTCCAATGCGGTAAACAAAGTACTCGGCAAAATATCAGGTTAGTTGTTACGATCTTTTTTTTAACATATAGTATTGATGATGCAAACAATTTTTTTTATTAATCACTGATAGCAGGCTCACACAGCTGCTTAATTGGCTACAATACAATGATACAAAGAATAATTGTTAAAACAAAGTTACACTATACCTACAGCTCAAACCTTTTTTTATGATTTATTACAGCTGTAAAAGATGTCAAGATTGACCTCCCTGCCAAAAAAGTATTCGTAACGACAACACTGGACCACGATGCAGTGCTGGAGTTATTAAAAAAGACTGGAAAAGCTTGCTCTTACATTGGAATAGCAGCAAAGTAAATATGAAGTAAGATATTAAAAAAATAATAATAATTTTTTTTTATCAAACAAAATCTGTATTATACACTCTTATACATATTTTTTTACAATTCGCCGCAAAAAAGTACGACTGGTATTGTATTTTAATGAATTCAAGTTGTGATACATAATAAAAATAACTATATTTAAAAAATATACAAATATATTACTAATATTGACTGAATTATACTGTCGTTTCATTTGAGAAAAATAAATATTCGACACACATACTTTAACATTGATTATAAAGGCACAATCCTGTTAGTATAATCTTATGGCGATATTTCTTGATAGTGCAATATCAAACATTAAAACTCACGTAACACTTAATTTTAATTTGTATGAATTATTTCTCAGGCACGAGATCTAAAAATTTCAATTGTTCAGTTTTGAGATCAGTTTATATTTTCAATATACTTTGTTATATTTACCTCTGTCAAAATTTGATTTCCATACAAACAAGTGACTGTCAGAACTACCAGAAGCAAAATAGTTTCCATCCTGTGAAAATGCAATGGATGTAACACTTTTTGAATGGCATTTGAGAGTGAATATTGGTCTGCCTTCTAACAAATCCAGAACCTACAAATAAATGTTTAAACAATTTATACTAGGCTCATTCCAAAAGTTAATTCAGTACCAAACCTTCATTGTTGCATCTTCTGCAGCTGTTAACATGAAATTTCCACTTGGATGAAACCTGGCTTTGTTTACTGCACCTTGATGAACATCATAGCATTGTCTTAAAACACCTGATTTTAAATCAAAAATTTTTACACAACCATCTGTACTAGCCGCTCCAATCAGTGTTCCATTAGGGAAAAATTCAGCATCAGTGTAAGAAGCTGCATAAATATTTATTGATTAATAGATCTTTTCAAAATAAAACGTTTGAGTTGAATTTTACCTTTTAACTCATTAAATGTTTTAATACATTGATTGCTCGCGATATCCCAAACTTTTAAAGTTTTATCATCACTACAAGATACAATTAATTTCCCGTCTGTGGAAAATCTAGCACATCTGACCCAGTTTGTGTGTCCTACAAAGGACATCAAAAACCTTCGCTGACAGACCATCCATAGTTTTATGTTTTTATCATCAGAGCTGGTTAGTAACTAAATTAACATATAGTTTGCCATACCATCACAAAAAACAACAAATAAAAGAAAAATGAGAAATTGAAAAAACAAAAGTATATACACACGTTTTCACCATCCGGACTAAACTTAACAGACCTCACAACGCCCTGATGTGCCACGAAATCCAAAAATTCCCCTCTAATCGTAGGCACCCATACTCTAACTGTCCTATCTTTGCAAGCACTTGCTATGACTTCTCCGGAAGGTGCAAAATCAACATCCAGGACTTCATCTCGATGACCGAGAAATCTTAAGGCTCTACTTGTTGAATCAGCAATATGCCATGATATCAAAGTTTTATCTTTGCTGGATGAGACTACTTTTTTAGTCTCTGGATGGAATGACAGGCTAGTTATTGTACTCTTGTGCCCCTTGTAGTGCTTCTCAATCACTGGATCACACTCCATGATGATTTTTATTTTCTGTAACAATTATTTTACTAAATTTTTTTTTTATTATTCACCTATAATGACAGTTTTGATAATGGTGTTTTTGTTATAAAGTTTCGAATAATTAACCGGCAAAATGATGGTTTGTAAAAAAACGTACTAACCTATAAGGTCTGTAATTTAATTATTAATTTTCGAAAAAAATTGACAAACACCTTATACACGCTACTTCAGTGAGAGGCAAAAAAATAATTCAGAACAAATTTTACCGACACTGAAAAAAAATCAATAAATTGTCTTTTTGCATATGAAACACTGATTTTTCCGTATTTTCTACTGTAAAACAAACACCTTTACTTCAACTCATTGATAATCTCGAACAAGTGTACCACACTGCCGCACAGCAGAAATAATGCTTACACTGTTTACAAATCAACTAGACAAACGATTTTATTTGAAAATTAATGAAAGCACGCCTCTAGTGTGCGATATGTGAAACATCGATTTTTCGCGTGCTCTTACATGAAGTATCCATGTCCTGTCAAACTCATGTCGAGTGTCGAGTCACGTCTAACATTTGTTGGGTAGTAGGTAGAAGGAAACTTTAAGGGATGGCACAATTAATTGAACATCGTTATTTATTACACATAGATTTTTTTTATTATTGTTTGGATAAACAAGGAAATAACAAATTTATTACGTACTACAAATGTAGGTCAATTGAATTGTAAAAAATCATTGAGAAAAATGGATGTAGTCTATAAACAAATTACTGAGATAATTATTTGTTCCTACAAAGATAAAATATATTTAATTCTTATTAACGAAGAGCATGCTACATCCAAATTACATTAAAATAAATTTGAGTTTTTTCTCACCCACTTTTGAAAATTTTATTTTTGTTTGTCACTCTAACTTGTACTTATATATACAATGAATATATAATTTTTTATTAAATATTTGGTTGTATTATTTGTTGTGTTGACTACATACAGTTAGCCGCGATTACTATTCGCACAATGAGGCAACACGTGTTTACACACACTCCGCACTAGTGGTTTTTTCACACTGACTGATAATCACTCACAATTGTTAGACAAAGGTTCACAATCAACGAACTTTCAGCTGAAAGAAAAAAAATACAATTCATTACAAAAAGTTTTTTTTCATCTTAAAGCAACAAAATAATTTAGTGCACAAAGACTCTTACTTCACATTTGGTCTTCGTGATGGTTCTGAGGCAGTCGGTGGTGGAGGAGGTCCACGACGAGCTAACTCTTCCAAGTAACCCATCAACAGCCTCGTTCTCTCCGATGCCGCAGCATCGAGCACCAGAAACCGTTTATCTTTTTTCAAAATGTCTTCTATTTCTGTCAAATGCGTATTACTCTCTTGCACCTTTTTGAAGGTTTTGTCCGTGATTAGTTTTGTCTCCTGAAGAAGTTCCCTGAAATCTGCCTTTGCTGCCACTAGTTTGTCTTTTATGTACTCCTTGAACTCTTTTTCACATTTCTATGAAACAAACGTGGAATTGTAGTTCATTGAAAAATTAATCGACACAAGAAAATTCATAATTATTATTTCTTACCCTATCACTGGAAGAAAATTTGAGGTATCGCGGATCATCTTTCAACAGCTTTTTGATATCCTTCCAAGAAGCTGTCAAATCGGAGGAGGCTCCAACCTCGTCAAGTAGTTCCCTAAATTTATCCCTCTTCTTTCGCCCCAACTGTTCAACGTGTTCATTGAACAGCCTCTCCTTCTCCTCCCTATCCAATGTGTCGACAAGTTCCCAACGATGGTCCTTTCTCAACTGTCTCTTAGCCTCACGCCAGGCGAGATCACCATTTCTTACCAAATCAGCCAGAAGCGCGTTGAAGTGTTGTACAGCCTCGGTGTGCCGGTGATGCTGTCTTTCTTTGTCCCGGTCCCGCAAGTGAGTGGCCAGGGTCCTTTGCACCTCCCGTTCTCGTTCCCGCAGACTAGCCTCGGCTCTCCGCTCACGGTCCCGCTTCTGCTTCTCTTCCTCCTCAGCTGCTGCGGCTGCGGCTGCCGAGTCTGGCCTGTCATATTCCTCGTCATCTTCGTTACGATCGCTTTCCTGTATGCAATCATACAATATAATATACGTGTGGATGAAAATAACATTACAATAAAACGAGAAATTACTATTTTTTTTCATTTTAACGGAGCAAATAAATCCATACTAACGTTGTCTCTACTCGGAGAGTTTTTGTGATTGCTCTCTTCCACATCATCAATTTCACCAATCTCTTTCTCGTCATTTATCTCAACGGCCTTTTCTTTTTCTTTCTCCCTTTCCTTTTCTTTCGCTTTCTCCTTATCTCTTTCTTTTTCTTTCTCCTTTTCTTTCTCGTGATTTGCTTTCTCTTCCAATTTACGCTTTTTTCGCGAAGAAGAGGAGCTCTCCTCATCTCTGTCCTTCTCCTTGTCCCTATCCTTATCCCTATCCTTATCTTTCTTACTCTTCTCCTTTTCTCTATCCTTATCCTTATCCTTATCCTTATCCTTATCCTTATCTTTATCCTTCTCCCTATCTTTTTCCCTATCGCGAACCCTGTCCTTATCTTTCTTTTCCTTCTTCTCCTTCTTTTCCTTTCTCTCCTTGTCCTTCTTCTCTTTGTGATGCTCGCGTTCGCGGTGCCTCTCTTCCTTGGCTTCGCGTTCGCGCTCTTTCTCCTTCTCTTTTTCTTTTTTACGCTCGTCCTTTAGAACGCGTACGTAATCGCGGAACCAGTCCTCGCGTGTACCGGCCGAATCGACGTTACGATAGCGCCAGTCGGACTCGAGGCGTTTCTTGCAGTCAGTCCAATGCGAGTGACGGTCGATGTCCTTATGCTCGCGCAGTAGCGCCAAGAAATCCTTTTTCACCTGTAAACAGTAATTACAAAAGTTTTGGGCTTGGTTCATGTCAATGCGCTTAATTAATGTTATCTTTAAAATCGAATACACTTGAGATCTTGTGATATTCTTACTGCGTTTGATTCTTGCTTAAATTGTTATTGTGTAATAATAGTAATAATTAATGTAAATATGGTTATATTTATTTTTCTGCTGGGCTCGTAACTGAAAGGAATGTTATTATTAAGCTGGAAAAAAACAAGCACATTAAATATCTAGTTTCAAGTTTTATGACGGCTGTAGTTATTTCAATGAAATTTTATGTTGTTACGTATTTATTTAAATTTTAACTTAATTATTGACGATCAGGCATAAAACTTAAAACTTCTTCATTTACATCTAAATTTTATTATCACGCATGCCTCTTCATTTCTGTAACAAACATGTTATTAATATCCGCTGAAAAAAATATCGATTAATTTTGAAAACAGCTACACACTATTTTACAGTTTTTTAATTTATGGTATGTATTTTTATTTAAAGCATCATTTTATGAAAACAGAACACCTAATTCGTTATTATTTTTTAAATCTACAGAATCTGTTTATTTTATATAGCTGACTCAAATAATTAGAGCTCTAAATTAAAACAATACTTACAGCAAGAAATTTTTGACCCAAGAATAGTTATTAAAACATTGTAAAATTTTAATTTAAAATTAATTGTAATATTTATTATTGTTGACCACAGAGTTTTCTAATAATGCGTCGTTTTTAATTGAATTTAATCAATTTTAATGTTAAAGTATCAGTTAAATCTTTCTCCTACGTCTGCTGTTATTAGCACGTGGTATTTAACTTGTTCTCGAATTTTTACGAGCATTACGATTAATATACAAATACCGAGTTCGTTCATTCTCATGACATTCGACTATGGAGCTGAGAATGCAGCGCGCTAAGATGCGTTGTGCCAAAGATGCCAGTGTTTGTGTGTATGTAGCTTGAAGATGATTGAATGGCATCTCATCCGGCCGGCTATAGAGTGACCAGATAGAAAGCCAATCCTGCCGGACTGTCCTGCCTGCATCTCGACTGACTGACTGATGGAGAGTTCAGAAACACATGAGTATACACGCACAACGAGCCGCGAAAAGCTTACTAGCAATTTTTTAATTTTTCTTTCACTTTTTCCTCGAATTGCTCATTCATTTTTCGGTGTTCTTCAAAGTTGAATGAATAAAAAATCTTTCTTTACATTTTTGTGCACAAAAAAATCTCGCCCTTAAGATTAATTTAGTATTTTTATAGTTTTACTCTTTAAACAAAGAACCAAACTAGTGGAACAAAATATTTCAACATACCTACTCAACCTGAAATGAAACGTGTAATTATATCTGAAAAAAACTGTAATCTTAAAATATGGTTAACACACTTTTGTGCGATCGATAAACCAAGATGATCATGTATACATGAAAAACAGTAATTGATAGAAAATATGGTTGTTTTTTAATATGGCAAATGAGATTATTTACTTGGAGTTTCATGAAATGATAACATTTGGCATGCATGAAATTGGGCATGAATTGAGAAATTAAAAATGAGATGAGGTGCCCTTGTATTTTCTATCGATTTCGAGTTAATATATCGTTGTTTCTTCAATGTTGAATCAGAACCGCTAAATTTGAAGAATTTTGATTAATATGTTTTTCTGATAAAAAATAAAAATACCTGTTCTCGTTTAGCTGCTTTCTCCTCCTTTTCCCGTTTCCGCACCTCCAACAGATATTCATTGAATAAACTCTCACGCTCTCGCATCTTTTCGACGTTCTTAAAACGCTCATCCCGGCCATGTTTTTGTGCAAAATCGCTGAACGAAGATCTGGAGTAATAAAACAACCATGGTAGTTCATTGGTTAATTTTAAATGCTATAGGACAAAAAATAAATCGAGTACATACTTTCCATGAAGGTTAGCTTCTTCCAGTAATTTTTGGAACTGCTCTTTCTTTTCTTTCATTTTATTTCGTTTTTCTCGTCTCTCTTCCTCTGCACGTTCTTTGACATATTTTTCAAATACTTGCCTTCTTTCTTTCGAGGTTAAAACCAAGTAACGGGGATCAAATACAATTTTATGCAATTCCTTTTCCCATGTACTAAATGCTGATACCTAATTATTTCAACACATGGTAATGAAATCATGAGTATACAATCCATCTTAAGAGCAAATATAATGTTTCTTACATCTTTCTCCATGAGCATATCCTTGAAAGATTTAATTCTTGTTTCAAGAGGAACAATAGCTCTTTCTCTTGCTGCTCGCACTTCCGCATCCATGGCTGATTCCTTGCCGATGTCAATTGTCTTTTTGTTATCCTTTTCTTCTTCCATTTCTTTCACGGAGTTAGCTGCATATTTTTAAACAACGATTAATATATTTTTTTTGTGTATTGTAATAATTACTTGAGTAAAAACTTACTTTTAACATCATCAATCTTAATTTTTTTAGCTGGAGGAGGCCGGTCCTCTTCACCACTGCTTTCGCTTGATTCTTCTTTACGATTTGTAACTTCGACTTTCACTGAAGTACCACTGCTTGCGAGTTGATCTGGTGGCGTGGACACCATTTTATCCACGTCCGCTCTAGCATACAAAATGTCTGGTCTCTCCCACACTGAGATCCTTGAAGACGGATTGTAATAGAAAACTCTCGCATCACCCGTCCATACCACACACCTGAAATAATTTCATTAATTAACTTTTTTTTTCACAAACCGATAGGTGGCAACTAAATAATTAATCAACTAGTATTACCAGGGAGTACCGGGAACTGGAGTACTGGATACTGGTCTAGATTTATCTTGGGGCTTAGTAGAAACTTCTTTAGTTGGCGTCTCTTCTTTCTTTACTTTTGTTGTATCAGTACTTTCTGATGAAGGGCTAATATTATTTTCGTTGCTAACTGAAGTTTTAGTTTCAGTAGCAGCTTTTGAAGGTGAGGCATTATCGCTAGTGTTAGTCGTCGTCGTCGTCATCATAGTTGTCGTCGACGTCGTCGATGTTATCGTTGTGGCTGTTTCTGAACTTGCCGATGTCGTTGTGGTACTAGTGGTAGTAGAAGAAACAGATGAAACAACGTTGGTAGCTTCTTCGGTTTTTTTTCTCATTATTGCGGCTTTAGCAGCTGAAAAAACAAATTTTTTGTTACTAAGATTGGCAACAATTTTCAAGTTTATTATGTAACTTAATAAAACATACTTTCAAAATCTTTTAGAGCTTGAGGTTTCTCCCAAATGGATTCTTGTGCTTTACTATTGTAGAAGTAGGATCGACCATCTGGTGCATGGTGTTCGGTCCACATCATTGCACTAGACACAATATTAGGGTCTATTTGAGCCAAAATACTGGGATCTTCATTGGGCATGGCAGCAGGTACCATAGGTTGCTGCATTGGATGTGGCATTTGTGGCATACCTTAAAATTAAATATTTCATGAAACAACAACTTAAAAGGAATACACGTAAACCACAATGATTGTATTATCCTTACCCCAACCGGGTTGAGGTCCGTAGCCTCCTCCATAAGGCTGGAAGTTTGGGGGAGGCATTCCATATGGTGCTCCTGCAGGAGGCCCAAAAGGGGGAGGCATGCCTCCATACTGAGTCGGCATACGATGCTGCATTGGCATCATAGTAGGTGGTTGCATCATTGGAGGTGTCGTATTCATGACTGCCGTGTTGACGACCGGCGCAGTAGGTGCAACAGATGCTACAGCGACACTGGTACCTATTTAATACACATAAATTCATACAATTTTCAACGCAAATCAAGGTTAAAAAAAATGAAAGATTGAATAATCACCATTTGTCTGTTGAGCCTGTCCCATCTGCTGCGCTTGGACATCATTAGTGGACGATACGGTAGTGTCCATAGGCTCAGCAGATCCAGTAACAGGTGTGGCAGTGGTACCTGGAGGAGCTGTACTTACTTGACTCGAGTCAGCTTCGTTAACATTGGCTGGAGCAGTAGGGGCAGAAGAGGGTGTCTCGCTACCTTGCTGCTGCATCCTTACCTCTCCACTAGTGTTGTCACTTCCTTGTTGCTGGGGCGGCTGCTGCTGCTGTTGTGGTTGCTGCGGCTGTGGTGATGACTGTTGCACCTGTGGCTGTTGTTGGGGCTGCTGTTGAAGTGGTGGTTGTTGCTGCTGCTGCTGTTGTTGCTGCCCCATCATAGCTGCATTCGGCGATGATGCAGCCATTATTGCACCACTAGCCGGCTGTTTTGATGTCCCATGTACTAACTGTTCCAGCTTAAATTTTTTTTATTCAATATTTAGCAAGAAATTAATTGTAACGATCGAAATCGTCAACACCCATTGCATTGATAGTTCAATTTATCATACCTGATCTTGCACCATTACTTTGACATTTGGCCCTTCTGGCTTGGTCCACGTTGTTTCTCGAGATCTTATGTTGTAATAATAGCATTTGCCATCTTGTGTTTTAGTCTCTACCCACACCTCTCCGTTAAGATCGATTCCTGGAATGTTGCTTTGCTGCTGCATCTGCTGATGTGCTTGCTGCTGACCTGGAATCTGCTGGTAAAATTTGTCAAAATATAAGCCTTATGTATTAGCAACTATCTACGAGTGTGTAAGATTTGTTTGGTGTATCTTACGTTGTTCATATTGGGAGGCCCCATGCCAGGTGGCCCATATGCTGCATTACCCATAGGTCCATTCATCATGTGCGGAGGTGGCTATTTCGTAAACAATCATTCATTATTTCACATTTTTTTTAAACGCAACAATGAGCCTTAGTGTTGGAGAAAAAAAAAAAAGAAAAGACTTACCATTCCTCCTGGAGGACCCATCATGTTAGCCATATTAGGTGGTGGTGGGCCCATGGATCCCCAGTTAGGGTCGAAGGGTCCACGAAAGCGAGGTCCCGCTGGCCCGGGTGGGCAATTGGGCCTGGGCGGTCCGTCGTAGGAATAGCCATTTCGGTACATAGGCCGAGGTCCAAAACCTCCTCTGCCACGAAATCTCGGAGATACTCCTCTCTGGGAGTAGTCAAAGCCTCCTCTACCACCTCCTCCTCTACCCCTTAAATGGTTATCGCTTCATTGTAGCGAATAAATGTTATGAGATTGCTTGTTTTCAAATTTTTTTTCTTGTAATTTTACTCTACATATATAAATAAGTCTATACCTATGTGTGTATGAAGCGTGCAGTAGCTATGGCAATCGTGAAAGCACGCGGACAAGTTTTCGGTTGTGTGTGTGACTGTACTTATGTATACTTATTTAAATTTTAAATTCAAACGATGATATTGTTATTTCAAATGAAGGTAAGTATTGTTTTCTCAACAAATTCGACGATAATAAAATAGACGATAGACAATCCGACTGCAGATATCCGACTGCTTGTGTACGAGATACGCAGGACAACAGAATAAGGGAATCGTAACCTTACCAGGCAACCTCTATAATAATTATAATACCTGTATAGGGGATTTTACATGTATATAGATATACGGTAGGGTTACTCTTTATGCTGCGGTCGAGCTGTCGGAGCTGTCGACTCTGTCGAGTGTCGAGGTTTATACGCGCACAATATATAACTTTAGTGTTGTAAATGTTTGTACTGCAGACTGATATTTGAGTATAAAATACAAAAATACTAGAGGTAAGTACGAGAGGTCTTGAAATACTACAAGTTAAGATAGTTGGATCAGGTTGGATGAGTTAGATCAGAGAGATATACAAATAAAGAGTAAGAAATGGAGAGGGTGAAAGAGCACTACTTATAATATGAATGTCACTGTAGTGGTTGTTAACGAGATGTATTATGTGTAACTAATGTGCAGACGATACATTGGTTGCCTAGGAAACTCCCAAAATAAATTATATAGAATGTAACGAGAAAAAAAAAAAAAATGAGCATGCACTCGTTTGATACTTGGATGCTAGAGTAATAACAATCAAGAAATATAAAAACAAAAGAGAAATATTGTACAAAACAACTTACCTAAATCCACCTCGACCTCTGGGCGCAAAGTGCCTATATTCCTCAGCACCACCTTCGTAGTAGAACTCTTCGGACTCATCCATGCCCCCGACGTCATGTTCCCCATGCTCAATTTGTTGTTGCTGCTGCTGCTGTTGTTGTTGAAGCTGATGCTGTTGTTGAATTTGTTGCTGCTGCTCGCCATTACTATTATCCTGCTGCTGTTGATTTTGTTGTGGCGGCATCATAGTAAGCACGCCGGCTTGCTGGTGCTGTTCTACGCTGGGATCCGAGTTCATCATTTGCATTTAAGCTCCGTTATAAAGGAGCTCAAGTAAACTGTGTTCTCGACGAGAAAAAAACGAAATTACAACTTGGAGAATTGTTTACAACATCGTTGTGACAGATGTATGGAGCTGTTGCTCCGAGACAATCCAGTCGAGAGGAAAGAATGGCTCATCGAGAGTTAGAAGCCGGACCCGGACGCGCTGCACCAATGCACGTATGCTGCATCAAAGTAGGCCGTATATATATATATATACTTGGCACTCTTGGTATAGACAAGACAGAGTTGTTGCGTCGTCTGGAAGTAGTACAACCAATGCTATTCTTTTTCTTTACGCAATAATATTATCTTCTTTTGACGCCTCTCTATTGCTATAATTCTTAATTATCTTTCGATCGATAAAAAAAAAGTTATACAGTATAAGGAACACGCGGAAGACATAATTCTCTCTCTTTCTGTCTACCGCTCTGATTCAATCGCACATGCACACAATTCCACGGAAGCCGTGCCTATATGTGTCGCCTGATGGTTTAACTTGATGAAGACGCTGCATGGAGCAGTCAGCGGCCAGCGCTACACTAAGTACACTGCATAAGTATTCGGTACAAGACAAGCTTTAAAGATTTATATTTATATGCTATGTATAGAACGAGATGGGACGATTGTGGAAGAGAGATCGCGTCCTTATTTTAGGTTAGAGAGCTCTAAAACAGTGTCTCACTGACGTCCGTCGGATATGATGATCTGTTCATGGTGGAAGGGGAAAATAACTATATGGAGTTCGGTGCTCATCACTGCTCATTAGACATTATAAATTATTTGGAAAAACGCCATGTTTGTCTCAATTTTAAATTATTACTTTATTGGCAGATTGGCTCCTGACCGGAATGGCCGACTTTCGTCTGCTTTCGGAAAGACTGGCGATTGGTTTTTTTTGGTGCAAGATGCGCGTGAGCACACCTGGTGCTGCCATTTGATTTTGTAACTACAATTTGAGAATTTGGAATTTGCTATTTGCAAAACCTATATTGGCTGAATTGGCTTCATGAACTGTTGATTAAAAAATTCGCTTCTAATTCATTGAAATAAAAGTCAAAACACTTGCATGCAATGTATTTAATAAAATATGTGCTTTCTGTTTTAAAGTACTCATACCATTTTTTCTGGTTAGCAATAATTAAATGACATACTTAATTGTAATTTACGATATTGTATGGAATTTTTGAGAATCAGTATGATTTTATTGGTACAAAAAAAGTAAAAAAAGTTTACATAAATAAGATTTGAACTGTACATAAAATACACATAATTCAACAAAGTAATAATCACTTATGTTTGCATATCTCGCTTCTGTACAAGATTTTTGTACCTCTCAACTAAATCGCTTATAGATCGCCGTTTATGACTTTTTGGTGGTACTTTTTTCTCCAACTTTTCCATCACGGTAGTTGAATTTAAACGTGGATGCGACAGTAGCGGTTCTCGAGAAAATTCTTGACTGGAGTTACACGAGTCTATCATAGATGTGCAACTATTTTTAGGTATTGCAGGTAGAATTGAGTTTGTAGACATTAATGTCATCATACTGTTATTGACTTATTTTTTCCATGAAAAGTATCATAAATTAGTAATTTAAAGATACATGAGGTGAAATTCGCGTAAGATGATACTGAATGATTCTTTACCTCTGTTATAATTTTGTCGTAGTGTGGAAAATATTCGTGAGTATTTGTTTCCTTTTTTTGGAGGCGTGTGAAAGCGCTGCGGTAAAGATAATGATTTGAAACTGCTTGTGTCATTGAATGTTTCATCTTCAAAATCTATTCGTAGGCAAGGTAATTTTTTCTTTGTCAAAAAAATTCCTTTTTTATTGCTTTCTGCATATTTTCCAAATAATTCCCTGTGAGCATCTAAAATAATTCATAGACATTAAAATCATTGTACTGTATTGAACTATAGGTTGAGTAAGTAATATAATAAATAGTGATTACTTTCTGATGGTGTTAGTTTTAAATCATTTTGAGAAACGGTTAAGCCTGCTTCATAATTATTGGTAATTTGAATACATGGTGAAGGCATAAAAAGTACTTTAGCGTATTCTGGAGCATCTGTTAAAACTTCTTGGGTATCCTTTAATTTACGATTTTGTGTGAGTTTATTTGTACGAAACGTTTCCATTTCTTTGTGTAGATTTTGAAAATCATTCATTGCGCTTTGTAATTGCCCATTACTAATTTTTAGCTGCTCAGTGCAACTAGACAACTCTTGGATACATTTTTTTTTAAGATTTGCCTTTGCACATTGTTTAACCAATACAGTGAAAATTGAAAAAAAATTATTTATGTTCAATGAATCTTCTTGGTACAAGTTGTATAAAAGAATCTAAAAAAATGTAGTAAGTGTAATATTATTTAAATATAAAAATTAAAACATCTTTAGACTGATAGTTACCTGTACATCTGGTGGTACCAATTTGTAAAGTACATCAGTATATATTTTATCAAATGCGTGTCCATTTAAGGTTTGCGAATTACCCGTGATATTTGAAACTACATTGTTTATATATTTCAATAATTCATCCAGTTCCTCTAGAGACTCACAATATTTTTCTATAGTTTGTGAAGAGCTGACCAACGACTTAACCCATACTGAAATATTTTATAAAAATTTCAACAAATTAATTGACCAATATTGCTCTGAATACTCACAATTGACTATTTCTTTGTTATCAATATTCAACAGTTTTTGTTTTGCAGTTTTATTGGCTGGTGCAGCTTCAACAATATTTTTCAAATCTTCCATTAACTGTAAAATTTCTTTTTTCAAATCATTCTGCTCTTGGGTTTTTTCACTAAAATAAATCATAAATTGCTTTGATGATGTTAACGTATTATGATCAAGGCTTATAGAAAAGTTAATGCTTGTACCTTAAAAATTTCTTAGCTTCAATTTCTGCATTTTCTCTATCATTGCGTATTCTTGAAATAAAATTTTTATGCTTTGTTGTAACATTTATCAAGAATCTCATTGTTAACTCTTGACATGGACCTTGCTTTGGTGCATTTGAAAGAATACTCTCATGTTCTGAAAGAAGTGATCAGAAATTTAATAAATAAGTAAACAAAACAATTTTAATCTTTGTCAAGCCAAGGGTAAAAACCTTGTCTTAAATAAGCACGTAAAATCACAATAGACAATTTCCACATGATTAAAATGAACTTTGTGCCTCCAGCCAACAACAAGTGAGATGCAAGTATTGGGGGAAAATTGACATCAATATGTTCACTTGCAATGGTTGTGAGGCACTTTTTTACGTCATTTCGATATTGACTCTCTGTCTGTTTGCAAATTACTGGCCACGTCACTTTGTTCTTCAAACTGTCCTTGTAGTAAATACTCAACAGGTAGTAAGAAACGTGCATGAAACCAGAGGTGTTAGGCTTGTCAAACATATTCTGAAACATGAATAAAATATCACTGTCACAAACATGTACTACATTCGTATGTAAATCAAGGTGTATACGATCGAAATCATGAAAGAGTACCTCTTTGAAGTGTTTCTTGAAATCGGTATTAGGTGGCACAGACTTTGTGAGCAAAAGTACATTTTTGTGAAACGAAGCAGACACTCTGTCCATTTTTTGTCAGCTCGTTAGCTCTTGGAGGATCTCTCCAGCAAATTGTACTATTTGTTGTTGCTTATCAACGATAACTTCGAGCTGAAATTATCAAACACTGATGTACCCACTGAAATTGTAAAAAAAATTAAATCATTCGTTAACTATCACAATCGTCAGCTACTATCGTTCAAATCAAAATAAACGTTTGAGTCGTCTGCCGAAGTCGAAGACCGTTAAGTATCCGATACGAGAGAGTTCACGACTCACTCTCCGTAGTCTCCGGACTCTCTCAACTCGAACTCGAAGTGTTCCTCGTCAGATGTCTCTAATAGTCTACTGATGAATGTGGACATCAAACGATCAAACAAAAAAAAAAAAACACTCCCCCATCCCCCATTTCCACCACACACACAGCGCACATTAGCTGACGAGTCTGCAACTCTATACAGTCTGCAAGTTCTGCAATGATCAGATCAGAGATCATTTGGTTTGCGTGTCAGGCTTTTAAAAATTTTTTTTCGAAAGTCCAGGTTATGTTTTCCACTCAAAATTTCGGAGTTCACACTCGTCCGTTTTATCAAAATTAATGGGAATCCCAAAAACTCTCCGTAGCGTCGTCGTAGGCATACCCGTAGGTTTTTTATTTTTCACTCAAGTCGGTTATGTGGCCCGCGTCGAGGGTGTCTCAATGCAACCAGCCCTCAATCCCGACGTTGAGCAGGAGGACTATGTATTTCTGAATCGCTGGTCTGTCAGGAATAGGAGCATCGAAAGAGGCGATATCGTCACCTTCAAGTCCCCCAAGTATCCAAATCAGAAGCTGATTAAGCGCGTCATTGGCCTTTCGGGGGATGTAGTTCACACTATTGGCTACAAAAAAGACATTCTCGAGGTTGGTACAACCCATACGTGTACTTGAGCCAATCATTTAATGGACACATGTTGTAATTGTTGTAATTATTTTCATGCCAATTCTTTGCTTTGCTCTTAAAGGTGCCAGACGACCAATGTTGGGTCGAAGGAGATCATACTGGCCACTCGATGGACTCAAACACATTTGGACCAATACCAGTTAAAATTATAACAGCAAAAGCTACTTGTATAGTGTGGCCACCAAGTAGATGGCAGAGTTTAAATAACTATGTGCCAAGCAATCGTTTGCCTCTGAGTAACACAAGTTTTTCACCATTAGCTGTTTGAATGTGGCTGTGTTTATCTAGACCTCTACTGTGTATATGTTTTGTGCGTAGAACTATACTTATTATATGCCAGACAAAACATTTACTGTTGACAAAATGAGAGCTGTGTGCTTTGTTAAGAGACTGCAGTGGGATGTACCTGGGACGCTTTTTATGCACGGAATGACCATTGGTGATGTAGACAATGATGGAGATAACGAATTGGTTGTTGGAACTGCTGAAGGAGACTTGTATATTTTTAAGGTAACGATATTTTAGTGGAAATGCTATTCTTCTTTCTATTGTTCTCTATTTTTATTACTTTCTTACTAAGAAAAAAATGATATGTTCAAGGGTACGGAATTGTGGCAAAAAATCACAGGTCTTGGATTAGTGACAAGTGTTGCCATTGGTGATATTTTTAATTATGGCAGAAATGCCCTGATCGCGATCTCTGGTGATGGTTGGATACACATTTATTACAGCCCACGATCCGTTAATCCAGGTTTCAACACATTGCATTCTGAGAATAGTACTTCTGAAAATGGAGAGCCTTTGGATCACAACGTTTCTCGAACCAAAGCAGGTAAATTTTCATTTGCAATTTGTATTGAAAAAAAAAAAAAAAAAAAAAAAATTTTTAAATAATATTGTTTCCAACAAACAGGAAGCTTAAATAGCACAATCGATTCCAATACATCTGACCACAAAAACAATGTGGGTAAATCAGATGAGTCAACTGGAAAAATGGAATGTGTTCACGTTCAAAGAATACCTGCCAACACAAAAGTAGTTCTGATTGCAGACGTAGATCAAGACGGTGCCAATGAATTAATTATCGGCCTGACCGACCGTGTAGTGAGATCCTACAGGTGGTCAAGCAACGCAGACTTGGGCTCGGGTAAGCTTGTGGGACTGAATAAGTGGGAGTGCACCAATCAAATCGGATCTGTGACCCTGCAGGACGACTCGGAGGGTAAACCCACGTTACTGGTTGCTCAGCCGGGCGGAACTTTTATGCGAATCAAGTGTAATACCGATGACTGCCAGGTGGACGACGAATGTTTCAATGATAGTAGTAAAGCTGCCGCTAGCATCGACTATCAAACACTGGGTAAGTCGAGGATGCGCAATCCAAATATTTCTACCGAGATACTCGGAAATCTCAAGCCCAAGATCAAAAGTTCTCCCGATGACGATAGCATCAAATGCATGTCCTCCAACGATACCACTCGTCATTCGTCCTTTTCCGATGATTTACGAAACAAATGTACCGTATCGGAAGATGTCAGTGAAAACAATAGCCCGGGTGTTGATGATGTGGATGGTAACGTCGTTGGGGGAAACATCATTTTTCAAGACTTTGATACTAAACGAGATGGTATTGATTACTTGGAGGATGGAAATAACAATATAAGAGGCAGTGATTCAAAATTGGATGACTTGAAGAAACAAATCAATAGTGAAAGTCAAACAAAGAAAAATTCAAAATCCTATGCTTTGGCCACACTCGATGGTACCATAATGCTTGTCAAAGATGAAATAATACTATGGTAATATTTCGTTTATTTATTGTAACGTTTGGTTTTTCAAATGCCGGAGAATGCAAAAATTTGTCGTACTTTTAGGGCAATGCAGGTGGACCATCACATAGCAGCTCTGTGTCCACTGGACGTGACTGGAGACGGAGCCGATGAAATAATCGCGTGTAGCTGGGACGGTCAGACCTATATCCTCGATCAACAGCGAAACAGCGTGCGATTTCAATTCGAGGATCCGGTAAGGGCCTTCTGCGCTGGAATGTACAGCGTCTTCCCACGATCGTCAACTCCCTGTCTTGTCTACAATAACTTTCACAACAAGGTGATGAAAATGATCTGTTTGGGGGGAATGAAAAAAATAATAAAAGAAAGAAAAAAAATTCAATAAAATAAAAAATAACGATGAAATATCTCAACTAGATTTTCCTGTATTACGACGTAAGTCTTCCCAGTATGATGGTGACGGCGCTGAATGCGGAAGGCTTGCTTGAGCAAGAGGAGCAAAAAGAGATGCTTAGAAAACTGCTGACCGGTAGCTCGGACTGCGAGCGCGAGGCGCAGCTTAAACAGTTGACGGAGTGGTTGTTGTACGGAACGCACTGATCGTTGCAATAAAGATATATGTATATACATATTTTATCGTTAACGTTTCAACAACGGCCTGTCATCCATTCTCCTCTCATCTCCATATCCTAGCTCTGTATACACATATAAACTCATGTGTATTGGTAAGACACTTCCCCTGATACACTTGAATCGATCGTAATTTCATTAGCTTTTTTTTTTTTTTTTTTTTTTTTTTTTTTTTTTTTTTTTTTTTTTTNGTGGTTTTTTTTTTTTTTTTTTTTTTTTTTCTTTTAATTCGCACCTCTTGCGATTTTTTTCTTCTCTGCTTTTCTAAGTTTGACACCTCTCCTCGAGTCCATCATTCGGAAAGTGAAAGAGGGGCTTATTATCAGCACCGGGCATCATCGTCATCATCATCATCATCATCATCATCAGCAGCAGCAGCAGCAACATCTCAAGAAAGAGAAAAAGAACCTCGGGCTTGTTTGCATATATATACGTATTTTATATAAGAGTATCGCAAGGGCAGCCGTTAATCCGCTTAGCCGCGTATATTTGTACAGGCGAAGAGAAGGAGGTAGGTATAAAGATACAGATATATACTGAAGGGAGGTAGGTCTACTCGCGACTGTTGGGCGCTTGTTATATAGACTTTTAATGGGGAACGATCAGGGCTCCGTTTTGTTGCGCGGGCGTGTGCACAATAGATATTGTATACCTTGTATTGGGTACCATATATCTATACTCTCTTGCCGTCATTTTTTTTCTTTTCGGCGTTCCAAATCGAGCATAAAGAGAGCGGCCGGCTAATTCACTTACTTGATTTTTATACCTCTATAGGTACGACCATGCATCCGTGGGTAAAAAAAAAAAAAAAAAAAAACCCTAATAGGTACACGGGACTATATGAAGAATCAAAAGAGGCTGCCTCTGTAGTTAGCTTTGTTCGTTGATGCCCTATGGCCATTGTGTCGACGCGGGCTCGTTGGCCGTGCAGGGTATAAAACGTTGGGGCATATCGTTTCTATGTATATGGGTATACAGAGCTTCAAGACTAATGGCTCGCGAAAGGCAAGAGAGACACGAGGCGGGGGTAGAAGTACTATAGAGAAGAAGAAAAAAAAACTGCCTTCACGAGCTGCTGGACGGCAAATGCACTACTTACAGCCGTCTCGAGGAAAAAAAAAAGAAAAAAAAAAAAAAGAAGAGCACCGGGGGATACTTGCTCGAGGAGAACAAAAATATAGCAATCATGAAGACAGGGGTACGAAAAACAAGTAAAAACGATGCAGGTCGAGAACCATAATGTACCATGTATCGGTGCAGGAAGCAAAAGTCGCGTATCATTTTTTTTTTCTCTTCTCCGCATTCCTCCGTAGGAAGAGAGAGAGAGATGTATATCGCGCGCGCGCGACCCATTTTACATTTTTCAACAAGGCCCCCGCGTCAGGTGTCAAATAGTCACTGCATACAATATCATATATATACGTATGGGCACAACAGAAACAGCACGGAGGCCACCTACACGAGCTCGATCCGTTTTTTTTTTTTTTTTTTTTTCCCCCCTCGATCTT